GTTTTAGACGTGGTGCCTCAGGACATGGTTCAGTGGCCATGGGAGTGTTGGGTTGACAGTTGGACTGGATGATCTTAGAGCTCTTTGCCATGATTCTATGACTCCAGTATGACCACGAGGAGGTCTGGGAAGCACACTGGTGTCTGGACCAAGACCTGCTGCAGCTTTGGCAGCAGCTGCTGAATTCAGGGCAGGTTCCTGGGGGACAGCAGTGCAAGGCTGAATTCCACCCTGATCCTCATGCCATGCAGCAGGTTTAAAATCCTGCCCCTTCTATTTATTGCTGTATTTGCTTAGAGATCACAACACATCCACATATTTAATCTTTTTAATGTGCTAATAAGTGGAAATTCTCCAGCCTGTAGGCCTCTGATAGCAAATAAACATCAACTGTGAAGCTGCTCAGAGTGCTCCTGATTTATAGCCACTCTATAAATACATGGTTTCAATAGCAGAGCTAGGAAGAGCTTGTTCCCACCATAAAGCATTGCCATGAGTCACTGTGAGAGTGTCAGGGTAGTCTACAGCATGAGAAGTCCTCTGGAAATATGTAACCTCTCCTGTGCTGAGCAAGAGCAGAAACCCAGGCACCTAAACCTGGGCACCTAAACTCAGCAGCTTTGGTGAGGGATTGGCCCAGGCTGCCCAGGGAGGTGCTGGAGTCCCCAGCCCTGGAGGGGTTCAAAGAAGGTGTAGATGTGGCTCTTCAGGCCATGGGTATGGTTGAGGTTTCCCAGGAGGAACTCATAGCCCTGCTGAGAAGCCTGGTGGGACAGCTCTGACAGCTGCCTCTCACTCCCCAGCTCCTTCCAGACTTCAGAGCTGAAGGAGACAAGCTACAAGCAGAATGAAGCTTGACAAATTGGGCCCAAAGCTGATCTTGCAGGGATCCTATTTAATGTAACTCATCTCACCTAAAGAGAGTTACTCCTAAAGGGACAGAAAGAGGCCACAATTTGTACAAGCAAGAGACCAGAGAAATCAGAATTGGGTGAGGTCTCACCACAAAACCTTTGTACAGTCCTTGTCCCATATCTAACATCCTCACAGAAATTCTCTCTATCTCTCTGTTACCTCCTCTGGCTTCCTCATGCCAGTTTTCCTAAACCCCCCAAATGCAGCATGTGAGGGCAAAGCAGAGACCCAGCACAGAGACCCAGCACAGAGGAACATTCCCTGGCAGTCTCCTCACCTGCCTGCTCCTCTCTGTGAGCAGCCAGCTCTGACTTCAACCTGATTTCTCACTCACCACCCAAGAGGTGAGCTTGGCAGAGCAGAGACAAACCAAACCCCTGCTCACACAGAGCCCCAGACACCCTGTTGCCTTCCAGCAGCAGGGGCCAGGCTTTGGAACTCCAACAAGAGCTTGGTTTTTTTTTAAAGATGATAGGAAATGAATACATTGAGCTTTTGGCAGGGAAATTGTTGGGTGGAGGGTTGGACTTGGTGATCTCAGAGGTCTTTTCCCACCTTACTGGTTCTGATTTTTGTCTAACACAGGAGGAATGGTGTTTGCCAGGGCAAATCCAGCTACATGCAGCAATTGCTCTGGTTTATGGCTTCCTGGAGGAACAGGGAAGTGCTCCCAAGGAGGCAGCAATTGCTTTTTTCCTCATGTCCCATGAACAAATAAAGGAACCAGGGTGTGCATCCAGAAAACCTCCTGGGGTCCAGAAAGGACAAAAGCAGCAATTTTCAGCCTGGCAGATGGGATGAATGGTTTGTTTTCATCTTGACAGCTTTTGGTTCTTTTATTTAGGTCTCCTTTGTAAATGAATATGCTGTGTGAGAGGCACAGTGACGCTGCACTTCCCCATCTCAGAGGTATTTGTGTGTCTAGGGGGAGTATCAGCAGCACTTTTAGCTGTCCTCAACCTGAGGACTCACAGCTTTATAAGTCCCCTTGACTTGCATTTACATGTTCTTTGCTAATCTTCTTCCCTAGTCCTCTCTCAATTAATTTCCCCCTGCTCTTAGTCTTCCTTGCTTCATGAAGACTCTTTCATTTTAATTTCCCCTCTTCCAGTTGTGCTGGTAAGCAGTGTTCTATCAATCACAATCCCCTTCCCATACACAGCACGAGATTTGCTACTGTCTCTTGAATTCTTAACAGATTTTATGAGACTGCTGCAGCTGTTCTGTGCCTCTGAACCCTGCTCCTCTCCCCCAGCAGCTCTCACAGCCCTGCAGAGCTGTTCTCTGCACAGCTTTCCAAGGCTGGTGTTTGGTTTCAAGGTAACCTTTCTCTTCTTCCACATCCTTAGGAAATTTGCTACAGCTATTCCCAATATGCCTCTTTTGTAAGTATTTTGTTCATGTGGACTATCTTGATTCTAGACACAAGAAATCCACCATTTGCTTCCTTCCCTTCCCTTGCAATTTTCACATCTTGTTCCCCACAAGAAGCTCCTAGTGAATTGTCTCTCAAAGCTTTTAAAGATTTTAATTCCCCTTCTTTAACTGTCAGGGAACTTAACAGCTGGATTTATGGTCCTTTACAGAAAGCTGAGAGTTAAAGGGCTCTTAGAATCCCACACACAAACACCCTGACCCAGCTCTGAGCTGCCAGGGAGGTAGAACCTTGCCCCTGTACCAACAGGACCTACATGTTGAGCCCCTCAGGCTCCTGGTGTCACCATGGATCACACACAGGCAAGAGCTGGAGGCCTCCAAGTGTCTCCTGAAGACTGTTGTCTCTAGTTATTCTGAGGAAGACACCTCCAGAGGGAAGAGACTCCAGCATCACTCTCTGGTGCCACCGAATCCACGTCCTCACCAACTATCCCCTTACAAAACCTTTAAAAGGGATAAAATGGACCAAACCAGGATCAGGAGACAGGGGGCTGAGCACGTACAGACCTGCAATAACCATTGATGATCCTGCCTGACACCACTTTGGTGATGGCTTTCCAGTACTTGGCTTCTCCTTCCACTGGAGCTCCCAGTAAGATCACGTCTTCGATGATCCCCTGAGCATCTGTGAAGATGGAGGCAGAGCAGCTCAGGCTGGGGAGAAGTCACCCTTTCTCTGGGTTTCATTTTAAAGAGAGAAAGAAGGGAAAGGAGCATCTTAAACATCATTTTGTGTCCAAGTTCAGTGTCCCCAGTTCCAGCTGGAGTCAATAATGGGAAAAATAAAGACCCTGAGACAGACTCTTCCCACAACCAGCCCTTAGAGCTGAGCTCCTGAAAAAGGTGACCTGTACATGCAACAGAAATTCCCCCCCCAGATTCTTAATATTGGTGGAGAACTAGCAAAAACAAAGTCATCTGCCAACACAAAGTGATCATCTATCCAACTGGTTTGATTTTCCTGAAGGGTACTTGAACCTGAACTTTAACCTGAACCAGGGCACGATGTGCTGAAAAGGAATGTGGAGTTTTAAGAGTAATAAATCTTCCTCCCTTATCAGACAGCTGCAGCTGGGCTATTTCAGTACAAATTATGATTGAATGAGAAATATTGGGCAGCTCTGCTCCTTTCCTCAACTCTTAATGTATTCACATATGTTCATCAATCTTCTCTGCCAAGAGAGATCAAGCCCCTGATGCTGTGGCAGTCAAATGTAAATGACTGGGCTCCTTTCCCTGCCAGCAGTGAACATGCTGGAGCTGCCCACAGAGCCTGTGCCCCACGACCAGAAGAGCCCTTGTGGTTTCATTTCTCACTGCAAAGCAAATTTTGAGAGAACAGCAAAGAGCAATTCAGGTTTGAGTGATCTGGGAGCAATAAAATCCCATTCCCATCATTATGGGCAACAAAGAAACCCCAGAGCCTTGCAAAGAGGGAGCTTGTTCCAACCAAGCTGCTGGATCCCACGGCCACAGCCTGAGCCAGGGGGATAAACAAGCAGCTAATTCATCAGGATCCCAAACGTTTGGGCAAGGTGCTGGAAGCTTTTGTTTCTCCAGGCCTTTTTTTTCTTGCTCAGGACAAAAATGTTCAGCCTTGGCTGAAAAATGCTCATTTTCTGGAATGTGGACAGAGAGAGGACAGAAATCAGAGGCCAGATCCCTGCCCTACAGAGCTGCTGACACCCTAGAGGAATTAAATGTATTTCATGGTTTGCAGATCTTTTCTGTGGTGAGGAACAATAAAGTCTGCACAAGAAAGGGGGGAAAAAAAGGGATTACTGATGAGCTTGTAAGAAGGCAGGGGAAGATCTGGTCCCTTTGGTTTGTAGTGACAGGACAAGGGGTAATGGTTTTGGCTAGAAAAGGGGAGATTTAGGTTAGACATTAGGAAAAGGTTCTTTAATATGATATTAATATTAATTTAATATTACTCCCCATGCTGTAACTTGTCTCTGGCAGGTCATTACTACATCTTCTGCTGTAATGTCATTTTCTGGAAGCTTACTAAGCTCTGGCTTCCAAAGTCATTTGTGATCCCAGAGGCCATTTAATTGCTTTGCAGAGAGGGTTTTTTTTAACAGAACTGGAGTTTCTGCCACAGTGTTCCAGTGGATAATCCACAACTGTCCCCAGAACTGGATACAACAGGACTGCATGACTAGGCCTTGTCTTTTGTGTGAGACAGGCAAGTCCAGACCCAAAGCAGTGTCAGATGTCCCAGGTCCCAGCTCTGTTCCTCCTGTGGCTCCCACTGGCAGGAGCCCGTGCAGAGCAGTCAGAGCCAAACTTGCTGCTTTTCATCCCACCTCAGCTTCCATAATTCAATTAAGGAACTGAATACTCAGTGTACAGTGGGGAGCTGCTATGATCCATGATTACAATGCTTAGATTTCTTTAGAATGACAGCCAGCCCTAGAGACCCCCTCATGATTTCCTTTCAGGTATTACTCAGCTACAGCCCCATGTCATTTCCATGAGAGACTGCAGATCTTTAAAGAAAAGCTGGGAAATATCTCAGCCCCTGGCATTGCAGGACATAAAGGAGTTGATCTCTGAAGGGCCAGACTAGGATCTGGGCCCTGGCTTCAGGATCACTGCATTCTGGCTTTGATTAGGTTTATTTTGAGAACAGAATTCCTGTGTTTGAGGACTTGCATCTTAAACCAGAAGAGAAGTTCTGGTATGCAGCAATCAACAGAAAGAAATGTTGAACACCTCCACGCTCCCTGGGCTCCATTCCCACCTTCCTGGGCTTTATTGAACATTTTCCTTTACAAAGCTCCTTATTTATTAGCAATTCTTTGTGAGGCTTAATGGTTAATGAATTAAATGAGCTACGTGGGGGGAAGGCAGCCTGCACACAGGCACTCACCACTGACTCAACCCCAAGATGTAATTTACATCCACTGATCATAATGATTTTATTCTTTTTCTAAATTAAAAATAGAATCCATTAATAAACAAAGCCACAATGGGTAATAAATTGACAGATGGTTTTACATTCGACTTTGGGGAAAAATTACCATGAAAATAGCAGATGACAGTGGCATTTCAGGGACTTAAATGGAAGGGGGACTCAGGGAATCAGATACAATAGCTACAGAGCTTCCAATAAAGGCAAAACATCCTCTGCCAAGATTGCAGTGGCACGTGGGCAGCCCACAGACTGATCTAGCAGCCAAATGTCACCAAATGTCAAGCTCTTGTTTACAGACTGGAGGCCAAACTGACACAGCAGAGCACCTCCAGTGAAGACAGGGGGTTTAATCCACTGAGCTGCTGGAAATGACAGCAGAATTTGGCTCCAAAGGCATTTCAAGCCCCTTTACTTATTTTTTTTTTCTAGGTTTTTGTGATATCCTAAAAAACCCAAGCTCTGTTCCAGAACTCTGCCTCTTGGAAGAGAAACTTTTCTACCAGCAGCAAGGAAAAGAAAGGAGAAAAAGGTCAGAAGGTGAATTTTACCTTTTTCTTGAGCCATTTCCTGCAGGCAGAAGTAAATGACTCTTGCACCCAGACTGAAGCCAATCAGTGTGACAGGTCGCTTGCCCTAAGGAGGAAGGAGAGGAGAAAACACCATCAAACACTGTTCTGAACCCAGAGAGAGAGAGACTGGAGCCAGATAAGCACCACACTCCCCAGCTGAGATGCCCCAGCACACTGGGATGTCTGTTTGCACAACAGCAAATGCTTCAAATGCAGAAACCAACAGCCCCAAGTGAAACAAAGGCCTTGTATGAAGTGCAGCTCATTGCCTTTCCTGGGGTGGTGTTTTTATGTGAACTCCAGCTTGCTTCTGCTGGGCTGTTTCAGGCAGTTGTGACACACAGCTCTGGGGCCACAGAGGCCACCAGCATCCTGGCCTGGATCAGCAGCAGTGTGGCCAGCAGGAGCAGGGCAGGGATTGTGCCCCTAGACTCAGCACTGGGGAGGCCGCACCTCAAATCCTGGAGTCAGGTTTGGGCCCCTCACTCCCAGAAGGACCTTGAGGGGCTGGAGCGTGGCCAGAGAAGGGCAACGGAGCTGCTGGGGAAGGGTCTAGAGCCCAAGTGTGGGGAGGAGCAGCTGAGGGAGCTGGGGGTGCTGAGCCTGGAGCAAAGGAGGCTCAGGGGAGACCTTCTGGCTCTGCACAGCTCCTGACAGGAGCCTGGAGCCAGGGGGGGGTCGGGCTCTGCTCCCAAGGGACAGGTGATGGGACAAGAGGGAACAGCCTCAAGTTGCCCCAGGGGAGGTTGAGGTTGTCCCTGAGGAACAATTTCTTCCCCTGGAGGGTTGCCCAGGGCTGTGCCAGGCTGCCCAGGGCAGTGGTGGAGTCCCCACCCCTGGAGGGGTTTCCAAGCTGTGGAGATGTGGTGTGAGGGACACGGGGCAGTGGGGACCTGGCAGTGCTGGACTTGCTGATCTTAAAGCTCTCTTCCAATGAGAACAATTCTGTGTTCATATGACTGGTTCTTCTTCCAGGTACCAGCACATTCCACTGCTCCAGAGGCAAACCCACAGCTCACAGTGCACCCCCTAATGTCATTTTGCTAATGCCTCTTAATTACCAGTGAACCTTTTTCATGCTCTGCATTCTGCTCTCCTTTCCTGGCTGTACTTTCTGCTCTCAGATCTCCAGCAGGTGACTTGGCCTGGCTGTCAGGTGACGTGCTCAAGCCACTTGTCCTTTTCTTCTTCATTTAGAAAAGCTTTAGGTTAAACACAACCAATCTCAGCAGGATTTCCCCTGATTCACTAGGGACTTCCTATTTTCCCCCAGGGAACCAGATACACACACTGGTGAGCATTTTTTCCTTTTCCATGCAGCATTTTTGCATTTTCCAGTTTATGATTCATTTTTGTCTCTCTGGAAAGATACCACTTGCTAGTTAACCAGCACATAAAACTATAAAACTTCATTTCCACGGGGCAAATCCCTTCCAGCTGTTCTTCCTGGGTGATTTCCAGCCACTCACCTGCTGTCCACTGAGCAGGACGTGTGCCAGCTGCTTGCCCACCTCAGCAGAGCGATGGAGACACACTCCCCAGGGGTTGTCAATGACACTGGCCACAGCCAGGAGTGATGCTGGCCAGGTCAAGGCTGTCACAATGCCTGGGACACACACAGAAAACCACACAGCACGGTCACAGGCCTGAGCTGCTCTGAGGGAACAGCCAAAGCAAGGTGGTTAAAAGCTAAACCCAGGAGCTTTTTTGGCATTTCCAGTTGTTCTTTCTCAAGAGCTGAGGAATGTTTTGCTAGACTGAAGATAAGAAAGAATCTGATGTCCTGACAGGGAGGCAGGTGCTGTGCATGAAGGGAACCTGTACGTTTGAAGGGTAAAACCCAGTGTGATAACAGAGAAATAAACAGCCACACACGAAGGAAGGTGTTTCCAGCTGTAATTTTGAAAGAAGGAGTCAAAGACAGAGGCAGAGCAGCCCAGGAAAAGAAATATAAGTCACAGCCATGCCAGAGAAGGTCCCCAGGCCATTCTGCAGGGCACTGCCAGGGGAGATGTCTCCTCAGAAATCCCCCTCAGCCAGGGAAGCTCCTTCAACGAGACAACGGCGAGACCGCACGAGAGCCACCCGAGCAGATCTGATACAATTCAGGGTCTTACCTGACAAGACAGTGAATTTTAGGGCTTCTTGAGCCATCATGTTCACGAAGCCATTCAGCAGGGAGTCCAAGGCGTTGCCAAGCTCCATGAGGTACCTGGATTCCCAGGCCAGGCAGTACTGCTCGCTGGAGCGCAGCAAGCTGCTCCACGGGGCAGTGAAGCTCCCTGGGAAAGGTTGGAAGGATGATTCGTGGTCAGAGAAAGGGCAACAAGCTGACTCCTGGCAGGGTGAGTCCCACAGAGCATCAGAAAAGAGCCAGCAGGACACTGGAACGTGCCCCTGGGGCAACGAGGTGTCACCATTAAAACCACCGTGAGACTTATCCACCATATTTCCACTGTTTTCCAATATTTCCATATTTTCCACTGTTTTGCAATAAATTTGGGGTTTATAGAGTTGTGAAGCTTTAGCTGGCTTGGGGCAGAGTCTTCAGCATGGACAGGCTCAGATTTCATGACCCAGCCTCAGAGACTGCCCAGACAGAAGGACATTAACACTGATTCTGTCAGGTATTAAGGACCTTCCTCTTATCATCAGCCCCCAGGCCAGGTCCTGCAGCTCCATCTGCATCTCCTGCAGACCAAAAAAGGGCCTGTCCCAGGAAAGATGAAGTTGCTGAATGGCTGCACAGACCAGAAACACAGAAAACATGGAAGCTCTTGTCAAAGTCTGTCACAGAGCATCTTCCCAGTCAGATGGGCAGGGACTGACAAGAAGGAACCAGCATCTGCAGATGCAGACTGCAATCATTTTGACTTTGTCATCTAGCCTAATTAGCCACTTCACTTTCATTTTTTTCCCTCCAGGTGCTAAACAAAAGCAGCTCCTGGATGTGTGAGAGATAATGCAGAATTGCCACTGTGTGAGTCTCATTTTGGGGCAAAAGACCACTGTTTAGCTTGCACTAGGGAGCCAGGAGGGGCCTGGTAACACCACCAGTGGCAGCTGAACTCCGAAGGCAGAGCAGAACTGTCATCTTCATTAACTGAACCCCTTCCACAGTGTTCCTTCCCCAAGTGATGCAGGGCAGGTTGAAGCAGGTGCTGCCCAAAGCAGCAGGAGAGAGCCCCAGGGTCCTGTCAGATTTGGGGACATGCAGATGGGCAGCTCCTGGGAGCTCAAGGATCACAAGGCAGTGAGTTCTGTCACTGTCCTGTCCTTGGTCCCTCTCTTTCCAGGAGTCATGCAAGTGTGTAAGCAGAAAAGGGTGACAATCCCAGTTTTGCTTTTTTAAACCTTATGGCAGATTGCTTGTTATGGAAGAAGAATGTGTGTCATCTGTAACTCCCTTTTAAGGACAAACAGATGCAAAAAGGTTCCTGAAGGGACACCCTTGTCTTTGTAACAGTGCCTGGGAGCCCTCCAGCCCCAAACCTTGGACCCCTGGCAAGCAGAGCTGAGAAAAGCCCCAAGTGCAGCACTGCTCAGTGGAAATAACCTCCCTCTGACAGCCAGCTGCAGCCTAACAAGCAACAGGCCAGAGACATCCTCCTGCATTAACCACATCCAACGTTCAGCATGATGCTCCTGAATAAACTGGCAGCTGTTCAGTCAGGTTGCTGAATGCCTCAGCAGACAGTTGACATACGTTATGTGACAAGTTACACTGGAAACCAAAACACTGCAGACTTTCCAAGCTTGTGGCATGCAAGTTCCCCTCCCCAGTGCTGTGCTTAACAGGATTTACTTGACAGAACTTTCTTGCCAATGAACCTCATTATCTGGCAGACACAGAGAGAAAAAAGACACTGTTTTCTGTTAATTGCTGGAGGATAAACATAAGGTCTCTGAGACAGGTGAGACATTTTGTGCTAGTGCTGGAAACCATCCAGCCCAAACAGATTTTTTGCTTTTTTTCCAAGCAAAAGCACACAGCACTTATTAACTGAAGCAATCCTGCTGTCCCACTGTCCCCACTGATTTACTGCCCTCTCCCTTGCCTCTGTTCTCATCAGGATGGCACACTGGGTTCAAGTCTTACACTGAGAGTCGACCTGATTTAGTTACCAAGCAGACAAGCCTGGTGAAGGGATGGTGCTGTGAGAGCACAGTCACTGCCTGCAGTGATCCCAGACCCAGCTCTCCAGGCTCCTCTCAGTCTCCTCATCTTCCTCTTACCATATTTGCCAGTACAGAGCCATCCAGTAATTGCTATGGTGATATGAAGCTGCTTTCCTTCAGTAAGTGGGAGGAATTCAAACTCCTCTATGGCTCCCACACGCTTCTTCATCTTGTATCCTGCATGCAGCAAGACAGAAACACAAGTCTTAGAAATCCCACAGCAAGGACAGACTTTGCTAACACTAAAAGTTTGTAAGAAATCACTTGGGTAATTTGGATAGAGTTAAATTTTCCTTTCCAAACCCCTCAAGCAGTCCGTGCATTACTTGGTATGGCACCATGGAGCCACCAGGATCCTTCTGAGCTTCTCTGGTCAGAGGGAATCCCAGCAGAAGGCTTTTTTTCTGGAGACCAGACAGCAGCTGTAAGAGGTGCCACTCTCTGTGGCAGCATCTTTCTAATCTTCTTTCCTTCATTAGCCACAAACTAAATATTCTTTCCCCACTTGGCCATCAGGGGCTACACAGTGTCTTAATCAGCACTGAAATAAAGATTTCACCAGCTGTAAGATTACACCTCAAGCTGCTTCCCTTGCTGTGCAGAGCTCAGGTAAGTCATTAGCTCTGCTTTCAGCCACAATCCCACCCCTCCATAGCTGAGAAAGGTGTGGGCAGTCTCTCACCAGTAAGACCAGCTCCAGCTGCTCCAAAAAGAGAAGCCATGACAGCGATCCCAGCCGTGGAACCCAGGGCAGCTGCTCCAGCACTTCCAATGACAGTAGCAGCCCCAGCAGCGACCAGAGGGGCAGCAAGACCCCCTGTCAAGCCTGAAGATGCAACAAGTAACATCACCAAACTGTTATCCCTTAGAAAAACCAGGCAGGCATTTCCCTGTGCTGGGTGAGAACCGTAATGCCACGGGCAGGGTACAACATCACCCACAAAGGGGCTTTCTGAGACCATCCCCAGGCCCTGAATCTCTACACAGATTCTTTTACTGTCTTCAGTAAATATGAAGTCTAATTTAAAAGTCTAAAGAAGAAGGTGTGATAGACTGGGGTGAGCTATGCCCTGTAAAAATTGATCTAGTCTTACACTATTTTCTATTGAAAGTCGAAGATCTGACCATGCAAAAGAGGAGAAAAACATTTTTAAGGGTGACAACCTCAGTGTAATACTTCCAGTGAAGCTACACTGGAATTACTTTTCCACCTAATTCTTTAATTTTCATGTGGCTGAAACTACTTTCCTTGGATTTGGGGCTTTTATTGTTGTTGTGTGTTTGGGGTGGGGTTTTTTTGGTATCCGGAGCGACATGCGACCTTGAGCCTGGCAAAGAAAAGCAGTGAATGCTCCAAAATCAGAGCTTGGACTCAAAGGCCTGATGGCTTCTGGTGATGAAGGTGTAATTCAGCCTCCTGCCCTGCCCTGGGCGCTGCACTCACAGTGCAGGAGCCTCCCAAAATGCAAGCCTCCAAAACGCAGCCTCACCGATCACTGTCCCGCCCCCGACGGTGGCCAAGCCGATCAGCAGGTACCTCTTCAGCTTCTTCCTTCTTTCCTTCTTTCTTCTTGACTCTTCTGCAGTTCTGCAGAGGGATTAGAAGCATTGAGAGCTGATGGAAAAGCCTGATGGATAACAACGCCCCATCAGAACTGGGTTTTTGTCTCCTCCCTGTAATTTCCCTGCCAGGAACAGTAAGAAGTAAGATGCAGGTGTGGACTGTGACAACACAGAGTTGTGAGCATGGACATAAACCCATAGATTTAAATGGAAATAATTGAATTGCTGACAAAAGCCAAGAGATGTTACTTACTTGGAAAACCCTTCCTAAGAGGGCTGAAGCTTGTAAAGGAAAAAAAAAAAGAAACAAAAATTCAGAAGCATTTCAATAACTATGCAGTGCCTGTGTGTCCTCAAAAAACCAAACAAGAAAGCTAAGAGGAAAGAGGGAGAAGTGTTTGAAACAAAAAGGAAGAGGGGTAGTTTGTGCTAATAAAGAAAGAGATGGAATTAAGCTATTTTCCAACAACAGTGCTTATATACATTTTATATATATATATATGTACATTGCAATATAATAACACAGCAGGTATTAAGCAGCCATTAGTTCATCTGCCTGGGTGAATTTAAGCTACATTTTCACAAGACTATCACAAACAGGTAGATAAACCTCAAAGGAATAAATATCACTGATTAGGCACTACTTTCAGCTTCTTTCTGCTCTCTTTGGTTCCTGTCTTACAAGAAATGCTGCTCACTCCAGAGGACAGTGAAAGAAACAGAGGAGACTGGAGTAAGCTGTTTACAGGGGAAGGTTCCTTCCAGCCTGCTTAATCTGAGCCTTAAAATACAAGAATTTATCTTGCTTCCAAACTTGGCTATCTTCCCTCTTGATCCCAGCCTAATTGTGGATTTTCATTCTCCCTATAATTGCCTAATCCTTCCTGGAACCCCCTGAGCACGCTGTAATTCTGATAAAGACAGTTTGAGATGAGCCCCAAACAATAGGCAGCTTTGTCACACCCAGCAGGAGGAGAACCCCTGCGTGGCTGAGGAGAGAGAGAACCTCCAAAAAAACCCTCGTGTATTACCTTCTGCAGCTGCAGACAACTGCCTGCAGGGGACAGCTCGCCGTGGCTGCCTCCTCAGCCACTTCTGGAGAGCCAAGATGGTTTCCTACAGCCCCGTGCCCTGGTTTGTGCTTTCTGCACCCAAACTGAACGCCTGGCTTGGGAAAAAATTGCTTCTGGAGCTGTTTAAACGAGTGCTGCAGTCTGACTGTTAAAACCTAAGTTGGCAATATCCAGAGATTTCTGTTCTACATAATGGTTCATCAGCTTTTATAGCCAACGTGCTGCTGTCTGGGGCTGAGAGTAATGAGCTGGAGAGAGCTGAGATACAGCTAACCTGGCTTGGCTTCCAGTAATGAGCAGTTTTGAGTTATGTGGCTAGAAAGACAGTCTGCAGCTAAATCCTGCCTGAAGGTGAAGTAAAACCACTGCCAGGAGAACTTTTACCTGTCACTGCCCTCCTTCTGTAGCTGCAAGCAACTGCTTTTGACAGCTGCTTCCCTAATAGCTTCTGCATTACCATTATCACTTGATTACCAGGCTGCTTTTTATCCACCACGGTCATTAACTGCCTCTTCTGGTGCTTCTCTCCCCTCACTGATCTCAGCTATGCAGCTTCTTGCCTGGACCACAAATCACATCGAGGCAGATTTTACATTTCAGGTCGTTTGCCAAGGATGAAAAGGGGCAGGAGTGACATGTCTGACGTCCTGCTCCCCAGTTCCCAGCAGAACCCTGAACAAAAGAGGGGTTCACACCTGCAAGTCAGAAGGTTTGGTGCTAGTAAAATGGATTTAAGTGTTCAGAGCATCGTTCTACAGCTGATTGTCCATTTAACCTCGTGGGTTCTGGGCCACAGTCCAACACACCCACAGCAGCAGAGGCAGGAGTGAAACCTCCTGTTAACAACCACCAGTAAAAATCACCTATGTGAGGCTGCCAAGCCCTGCTTGGTTGTTCCTCCTGTGGTGGGTGGGCAAGGCTGGAAGCATCCTGAGCAGATGGGAATGTATTCCCTGCACCAAAAGTCTGTGATGTCAAAGCAGTGGCAGGTTTATACTCTGCTGCCTTCCCCCACTGGCTCCAAGACAAGCCAAGGGCCATGGATTCCCCACAAATCTCAGCCTTGTTGTAGCACTGCAGTCCCAAACATCTTCACACTGCAGTCTTGGACTACTCTCACTGCAAAGATTTTTTCTCCCCTTTTATTTAAAAGGTATTTACTTCCATGGCTGCCACTTGGGCAAAGACCACGACTGGAATTGGTGACTTTTGCCACACCAGAGGTGCAAAACCCCTCCTTGGGGTAAAAAGCCAGGCTTGCCAGGCTGCAGCATGGTTCTGCTGCTCTCAGACAGGCCCATCTCAGGCTGGGCTGCAGGAGCCCTGCCCAGCTGACACAGAACCAGGTCCTGGAGCATCCTCTTTGCCAGCCACCCCCCACCCTCAGCATCAGAGTTTTGCTGTGCTGATTGAGTTTGTTTTCACAAGCCACAGCAAAACAGGCCCCGTTATGAGCAACCCTTGTCCCCACAGGCCAAAACACCTCCTGTTTAGCACTCTAATCTTTGAGATTATTTTGACTTTCCCTTTTTACAGTCTGCTATAAAGTTAAGCTTTGCTTAAATGAAGCTGTAACAGAAAGATACCTGTCACATGCTGGACCCCATGGTAACGTCTGAACTCTGTCAGGGCCCTTGATTAAAGCCTTTATTAGCACTCAGGTTAATCTCAGAGCCTGTTTGCTGAGCTGACAGATAAAAACATGACGAGTCCACTACGCACGTATTTACTGCCTTACACACTGCTAAACCTTCCCCCAATTCCTGCCTGATCAGTGGAATAGAAAAAAGCTACATTTCTGATAGATACCAACTTTCTGGCTGTTTCACATCTAGGAACAATTAAGAAAATTAATCTTATAGCCATAATACAGAATTAGGAGTCATGTCTGTAAGTATCTGATGCAGGCTGTTGCCCTCAGAAATTGCCCTTCTGGAGGAGTTAGCTGTCTCTCAAACAGCATCCAGAGAAGGACAGATCCACAGAAAACCTGAGGATCTAATCCTGAAGTTTCTGGGAACTTCATTCTATAAAAGGCAGCTCTGTCTGAAGAATATTGGGCCAAGAGGTCAGGGACACGAGAGCTTTCTGGTGTATTCAAGCACAATCTACAGCCTAGGAGAGGAAACTGGAACACATTGATGGGGGAGCTCAGTGCAGAGTAGCCTTTACCAGCTTGCAAGGCTGGGTCTCAGCTCTCATTTCAAGACTGCTGAGGTTTCCCACTTCTCACCACCACTCTGCAACCCTCATCAAGCCATAAATGATTCCGGGAATGATCAGAGACTGGACTTAGGCACAAGGAATTGCTGCCCAGCTTCCCAGCAGTGCTTTTTCACCCCGCCATCAACCCAAATATTCTTACTCTGACTCTTTCTCTGTTTGTTCCTTCAGGCTCTCAAGCAGAGACTCCTCCAGGACTTCCAGCTGCTCCAGGGGGATTCTCAGCAGCCAGGTGATGTGGCAGATCAACACCCTCGCCCGAGCATCGTAGTACCCTTCAAGAGAGGGGAGCCCAGGAGTCAGTCAGTCTGCATAGTGCCAAAGGACACAGCAAGCTGTGCCAGGGGACTGTGGCACACAGGAGCACCTCTCCTTCCCTCAGGCCCTCTTTGTCTTCCAGGTATTTGCACACAACCTCTACCATCTAGAGAAAAGGGCAATAAATGGATAAATCTTTCTCCCCTGAGAGCCGAGTCACTACATAGGTAATTGTGGCAAAAAAGGGATCTCAAATCTTGGGTTTTATCCTCTGCCTTTTGGCTCTGGACAGGCTGCATGCTTCTTCTCAACAAAGAAATGCTGCAGCAAGACCAGTCCTCACTGGAAATATCAAATATATACACAGGTAACACTACAGAGTACAGCCCAACTACACACCAAGGTGAGATCTGGTGTCCTGTGAAAAGGCACCTCCATGTAGAGGCTTTATCCTCTGTTCATCTTGCTGGCAGCCAGAGGGACTCTGGAGTTTCAAGCTACACACCAGCTCACCCAGCAGGACCACAGACAATTGTTTGCATTTATCCTTCACTGCTGGAGATGTGGGAGGAGACAGTGTGCTCAGACAACACAGGAGAAATGATTATTCCTGGGCTTACGAGCAGTTGTGCTCTAAGAAAAGACATTTAAAATGTAATAGATTTTAAATTATTTGTGCCAACTCTTGCTTTTTTTAAAGTGTTTCCCTCAGGAGGACCTGCTGCTTGCTGATGGTAGGCTTTTGTAAAGGGTTCTTGGTGCACTCTGGGATGAAAAACACAACTGCTGGTCTAGGAAGATACCAGCAGGACCCAACTCCAAACTGCTTCTGATACCTGCTGCACGTAGATCAAACACAGCACTTGGCAACTTGTTAAGTTTATTTATTTATTACCATCATCACCAAACTAGGCTTTAATGACATCACTTTTAAGATTGGTGCTTGGTTGAGAAATCAGGGTGGTATTTCTCTTTGCTTCACTCCCAACACGTGCTGTGGCTTCTGACCCAAGCAGGTGTTTCAACAAGGAGCCTCCCTGCCCCCTCTCCCCTAATAGAGGGCTCAGTTTCCACTTAGCCAGCTTGGCACTAAGCCAAGCTTGGAAATATATTCCTTTTTAAATTCCAGCTTAGAGGAATAAGAGGTTTTGCAACAACTGACTTGTCAATTTTCCATTAAAAATCAAGGACAAAACTGGTGCTTTGTTCTGCAGTGAAACAGGCTAATCAGCCACCTCTGAGTTCCTTCCAGGGAGAACATGTTGAAACACAAGAGAGATGAGAAATTTAAGTACTGCTATAAACCAGGCTCCTTTCAGAAATGAACATTTTGCTCAGCAGGCAGACTTTATTTCACTAATTTTATCAGACTAATCTGTGTTATGGGTTGTAAGCCAGAAAACTGCTTTATGCATAATACAACACACGAGTAAAATCACTTTTTTTTTATAACAGGCTTCACAGGACACTCTGGAATTTATTTGCTGAGTATTTTTTCTTCTTTTTAGGCAACAACGCTCTGCAGAAAATTTGCTAGGCTGAGATTTTCACAACAGCTTTGCTGCCTTCCTAAAGGAAGAGCTCGACTGCTCCCCTGGAAACACTGGAGAAAAAAAAAACCCACCCCACTCTGGGTATTTCAGTTCAGAACTTTTCTACCATCCCACACATTCAAGGCTCATGAAGGTAAGGGGGTGACCAGCTGCTCCATTTTTATTGGTGTTATTAATCTTTCTGAATGTCATAGCTGCTTCTCCTGTAGTGGACACAGAGAAAGAGTGTGCTGCTTTTGCCAGGAAGGAAAATAAAATCAAATCAGATGGTACCTTGTGCTTTTTGAGCACTTTAAAATCTCAGCTGTGAGCTCACCTACATTCCTCTTACCAAAAATAAATGCTGGGTAAACTTACCACCTCGGAGAGAGAAGGACAGAAGGTCCTAAAAAGAAGAAGAGAATATTAGTGTGAAAACTGCTGATGTGTGCTTGGTGGTATTAAAAAGGAGGCACTAAAAACCCATTGGACTAAGACTGAATTACTGCTGGAAGCCAGCTAGGCAGCACAGGCAGAGCAAAGCCAGAGCTTCCAGTACAAAAACCTCCATCTGCAGCTACAAAAGGCTGGGCAGAAGGAGATAACACCTGGCATGTGCTGAAGCATCCCCTAAATTTTGTTATTAGTGACTAGAAGTCCAACAGTGGACTTCTTAGCTGGGGGAAACAGGGCTCTAATCCTGCCATTCAATGCCCTCTCCTCACTATATACTCATATTTTCAGTGGAACAGGTTTCAGTGCTACTCTGATGGACCAGTGGCCCCTATTTTTTATTGTCCTTCTGGGAATTCAGAGCTCTAGATGGTCAGGCCTAGAAGTTCTGGCCCAGGATGAAGGCACTGAAGGCCTGGTGTGAAGTTCTTTTGGATGAAGTGCTCAGAAATAGAAAACTCAGAATTTAGGGCCACTTGTCAAGATTTGAGGGATTTGAGTTCTGTGTTGGCTCTTCACTGTGAAAAAATCAGAAAAACAAATGAATCCAAGAGATGGACAAACCCACAAAAAAAGAGGTCACTGTTTTTACTACTGTGTTCTCTTCTTTTGTTGTCACTGGAGAAATTTGGAGTTCTTTCACTCCAACACTAAGCACCAGCTTGGCCTCACTGCTTCCATCTCCTACACACAAATAACACAGGGCTGAGTTTTACAAGGAATCCTCCAGCCCTTTGGGAACACAAAACAGGCAGCCAAAGATGTGGGAGGCTGCCAGAGGGTTTATGATTATTAGTCCTGTAAGCTCCCTGGCAAAATCTGTATCATAAAAATGTCTCTAATCTCCTCCCTCCTGCATGAGAAGTGGAGGAGGAGAACAAGCCACCCTCAAGCAACTAGAAGAGGGGCAACCTGTAGATATTATCCAGGCAAAACTAAGTGCCTGGACCCTGAATATGATTTTAACATGAGAAGAGTCTCCTGTTTCATGAAGGAGAAGCTTTAACACAGGACTGAGGAAAGCAAAGGCTTCATCTAGAACAAGAGGAAGCTTGACCTTGTGGCCAGCATTTTTCAGGGCCTGATGTAAGCAGCAGAATGGTTTGTGCAGACAATAAATCCTCCCTGCAAAGGGAGCTGTGGGTGTTGAATCCCCTCCTGCACTGATACCCACTATCATCTGTGGCCCCTGAATATCAAATAACCTCAATTAAAAATCTGGCCTAAGCATCTGCACGCCCCCATTTCAAAAGGTGAGGGATGGATAGGGGTGATCAGGTGATAAATGGGAACTACTGTTTTTATGGCATCTGAGCCAATTAAGGTTCTCTGCTGCTCCTCCTTGGCGTAGGCTCTGCACGTCCTGCTGTGCACTCACCCAGAACACAATCAGCATTGATTAGATTAGTTCACAAGTAGTTTGTTTTCCTCCTCCAAGCAGCAGTTGTTATATTTCTGTCTGGTTTTGACTCTCCCTGTGAACTCTAGGCACAACACTGTCCCCCATAGGATTGAGAAACGTCCCAGGGAAGGGGAAGTGACCTTTATTCAGTCTTTGCCAGCTTTTTATGAACTGCTGCAGGTTCAAACCCCATTTCCTCAACAACACAGAGCCTCCAACCCACACCCCAGTGGACTCGTGTAGAAAACCACAGGGGAATGGCCATTCTAAGTATGTCCAGAGCAGAAAAAATCCCTAGGAATAAGGACTTGCAACATTTTCTCACCTAACTTCACTTCCTCACCTCTTTTTGTTGGGCTGCCTTCTCATCCTGCACCCCCAGCCTGTGTGTTATGACTGTTGCCCTTGAAGGACTCAGCTAAGCAATGTTTGCCTGCACTAGTCACCTGCAGTGAATGCAAACAAAGATGAAAATCCACAGTCCTCACTGAACTCACCTCTGATCTGATCTCCTGTATCACCCCTCCAGCTGCCCCAGATGAGGCTCTGCAGCAAAGGTGAACACCACCAAAAAACCCTTTGCTGCTTTTACATTTATGTCAGCTTTTAAATCAGAAATTTAGAGAAGGATTGAATCATTTTGGTTGGCAGAGAGCTTTAAGATCATCAAGTCCAGCACTGCCAGGTCCCCACTGATCCACATCCCTCAGCACCACATCTCCACAGCCTGGAAACCCCTCCAGGGGTGGGGACTCCACCACTGCCCTGGGGAAGGAGTAGTCCCAGTCTCACCAATACTTTCTCAGTGAAAGAAAATAAAGTCACAATAACTTATTTCCTTCCAGCCAAAGCTGACTCTGGAAGAAAGGCTCTGGAAATGGTGCTGTTGGAAGCACGTATGTAGAGATGTTCTGAGTTACAAGACTGGTGAAGTGGCTTTGAAACACTATCTCCTTCAGAGTTTCACCAAAATCTGTAGAACATACACAGGAACCAAAACCAAGGATACAAAGGAAAATGTCTGACTGTCCTGTAGAGCAACAGCATCCAAGACTGAAGGCATTAGTTCACCAGACAGGAACTGTGCCTCGTGTTCATCACTCCCCTGAGCTGTTCAGGGACAGAGAAGCTGCCAGTCACCTGCAGAGCTGCTCTGAAATCTGGGAAACATCACAACAGTGACTTCCCTTCCCTGACTGTACAAACAGCACTTCAGCTGCAAACAGACATATATGACCAATCTCTTCTGCAAAAGCAAACAAGGGTGAGGGGAGTATATGAACTTACTTGGGTAATGACAGCTGGATTTTCTTTCAAGGAGGGATCTTTTAGCAAAATCTCAGCAAAAGTCTCCGTGCCCTCACTTCCTAAGCCACTAGCAAACGCTTCCATGGCAGGTAAGACAGTGTCAGGCAGGTCCAGCCATTTCACAAAGCCCTGGATGAATTCTGTCCTGAAGGAGCTGTAAGGCAACAGCAGCAGTTTCAGGCTCCAGAACTGGAGTTCTCTGCAACTTCTGAGTGGTGTCTGCTCCTGGATGTCAATCTGTCCCTGTTCCCCCAGGAATCAACGCGTGGCAAGAAGTCAGCAGAAGCAGAGGGGCTGCACAAGGTGGCTCAGCAACCAAGCAAGGAACAGGAAAGGAGGGAGCCCTCACTCAGGAGGTGTTTTGATGTCTGCAGCAGTTTGGACTGTGGGATAAAAGTCTGTACGAGGGCAAGCGGGCGCAACGAAGAGAACCCCTAACTCCAGAATGATCTTCCACTCCTCACTCCTCAGTAGACCCCACGCTGAGCCCAACACCAGCCCCAGCCCAGCTGCTCCCTAAAGCCACCCCCTTTGCTGGCCCCGGGCAGTACCTCTGCTGGTTCTCAGGGAAGAGCCGTGCCAGGGAGAGCCCGCAGAGCGCGGCGCAGGCGAAGCGCCCCGGCTGGCCCAGCAGCACACACAGCTCCTGCCCCTCAGCCCGCTCAGCCTCCTCCACAGCCTGGCCTTCCTGCTGCTCCTCTGCAGCCATTTCCACCTGTGAGTTCAAAGAGGACAACAACACACAGTTGGGAAGTAGGCAGGAAGGAGACCAACCCCCTTTGGATCGCCATCGTCACGCTTCTGTCAGCAGCAAGTCAAGTCTGTCCAGCTCCAGCTTCTGCCTCCCCCTCCCAGCGTGGTGCTGTGAGCTATGAAGACCACAGGAGTCTTTCTGCTCACCCTTCTCAAAGTTTTGCATGAAAGGAGCCAAGAATACTCCACTCAGCAAGAGAAGTCCTGACCAAGACACAGAGAGAGTGGGCTCTGCTCAGGCCTCACTCACGTGTTGACCCCAGAAGCAACATGCACAGTAAAAGCTCTGCACTGGCTGCAGGGACCAGTCCAGCTGCCTGGGAAATAATTCACCTCTCTCATCCTCAACCCAAATTGCTGTTGAGAAAGTTAAATCCAGCTGCAGCCTCTGGTGAAGACTTCTAACGTGTCCCACGGACACTGCTGGGCTTTGTGTGTAATGTTCTCTCTTCTACACGACCTGCCACTGCTCTTCCCCTCGCTGGAAGATCTGTGTGACACATGGACCTTGAGCTGGGCCAGAATGGTCTTTTTTAGAGCACAGACATGCACACTTCCAACCAAACAGCTTCCAGCTGCTCCCCAGGAGCTCCCCAAGGATACAACCAGCCAACTGAGGTGCCCAAGATCAGGCAAACCTGCCCACAGCTCATTTCACAACCCAACATGGGTAACAACCTGTTCCAAAGCTTGGTCACATCACCTCCAACTTCTACTGACTTCATCAATTCACTTGGTTTCCAAGGGGCCCAAATCCCCTATTTCATTTTACATGTCCTATTTAAACCATAGACTCATTAAGGTTGGCAAAGACCACTAAGATCATCAAGCCCAACCATCACCCAACACTACCACGGCCATTAAACCCTGTCCCCAAGGGCCACGTCCATGTTTCATTTCTTCCAAACCCTGTGGAAAGGAAGGAGGTTAAAAAGGAATTGGGAGCCTGTGACACTACAACTGACTCTCAAAGATGCAACTGCTGTTGATGGTGTAGAGTCCTAGAAGAAAGAAATGCAGCATGGGAGTGGCTCTTTTTAAAGAGATTTTATTCCCTGCACGCCATCTGTCACAGTCTTCCTTCCCACTCTGAAATTCTGTGTTTCTCAAGGCTTGCACTGTTTAACTGCTGATGTATAAATCCAAGGAAAACTCATCTCTCCAGGGTGATGAGTTACCACAACCTGCACCTCTCTCCCTGGGAGACCTCAGCACCCCACTACACACATTCTAGGGTGCTGCCACCCAGGGCTTGAGCACAGGGGTCTCAGGCATCTCAGTGAGTCTCCTTGGAAACATCACATTCCAGCAACGTGGGAGCACAAAGTCTGAAGGAAAAAAACTAACTCTGTTGTTTCTGTACCCACCAGAGAGGGGAAGGGACAGATTACAGCTCCCCGAGGAGGGCAGTGCCTGGGATCAGTCCCCAACCTGCTGTGAACCTCAGCACTGTCCTGTCCAAGGCTTTCTTACAAAATCCCAAGATTGTTTTATCACCTCCAGAGCTCCAAATCCCTCATTCTGACCCCCTAAACCCACTTCACATCCCTCACCAGGCTCTGATCTTTCTAAACCACCCAGACTTCTGGAGCAGTTTGCCCAGAAAGCTCATCCTCAGAGTTTTGATTACAATTACTTGGCAAGTTACTCACCTCTGGAAACAGATTTAGTAGCTTGTCATGGCACACAACACTGAAAATAAAATCCCCTTCCCTGCTGTGATAGATTTACAAATTTAACAGGATTGCATGTGAAAATTTAAGCAGCTAAAAAGGACTGAGAAACAGTAAAACTGTTTCACCTTCTTCCCCAGTAACATAAAAGATGCGACCAGTTATGGAGCGACACCACAGAGGCTTCTTGCACACAACTTTATTGCTGTTATGCAACAAATAATTCACAATATTGAGCATCTAGAATACCCTGAGAAAGCTTCTGAAAGACTTTGCTCTGAAGATGCTCTGCTGGGTGCATCCCTCAGCACAGGCATCTATTGTTTCCTAAATACCTGGGAAAAAATGGGCTTGGATTTTCAGACATGCAGCTTAAAAAGGCAATTTAATAAAGAAAACCTGGGTCAAGGAATTTTGCCACTAAATCCAAGATGAGGGAATTGTAAATAGCCCAGAGGCTATTTACAGCTTGTGGCACTGGAATTTACACCTCTGTCTCAGACAGCATGATTCAGCAGTCAGTATTTACCCCATAAACCGAACTGCTGCTTGCCAGAGAAATTTTTTATCACTTCCAGCACCCACTTTTGACACAAAGCCCTTTGTTTTCTTGAGAGGTGCTGTATTTTATGCAGCGACTCCCACAGTCCTATTTGGAAAGCAGAATGATAATCCTTTGGTGGATCTATACAACACAGGTGCTCCCTGTCCCTGGAAGAAGAAACGCTGGTGTCACATTCACCCTAAATCATGACCAAAGTGACCAAAACATCGACACGCTCATCTCAGAGACCCTCAAAAGTTAATGAGGCGTCTCATTAACTTCAGAGTATCGTAGGTAATTATTCAGATGCCCTTAGTGGATACTGGAGGACAGCACGGCCAAGCAGCAGCACCGTTTGGGCTGGTAAATTCAGGGCGATTTGGGGACACACGTGCTGTTTAATCCGTCGATACAAAGTACGAGCAATTAACTCAAGCCCAGATAAAAGCCCCGTCTTATCACAAACCCCCGCGAAGGCGGCGGCCGCAGCGGACGGGTGCTAGATGGGAAACACAGCCCCAGGGGATGGGAAAACGCCGAGAGCTGAGGGAGCTGCAAAACCCAGCCGGGGTTTGGCACAGGGGAGGTGGGCACCGCTGTGGGGATGCGACCGGCAGAGACCCCTGGGGAGGAAACGCCTCAGCGGGGAA